TATGATTCTATGATTCTATGATTCTTCCTTTTGAAATGCAATATTCCAGAATTCCAAGAGAGGGCGGAGTGCAATCAGTTTAGATTTTCAATCCTCGAAGTCCATAACGATGGCCATATGATTGAGTCAGAGAAAGGCAGTTACTTTATGCAGCAACATTAAGAGAGTCTGCAATTGCTTCACCAGACCATTTTCTTTATCATTCAGCATACTGGTAAACAGTAAGCTGGGAGGAAAGTCAAATAGAGGATTTAAAAAAAATAAAATCCTTCCATATCCTTGAAATTGTGGTGGCTTAGTGGTTAAGATGCCAATTCTGACAATAGGAAGATCGAAAGGTTGGCAGTTCAAGGCCTGGGTGCTGCATGATGGGGTGAGCTCCTGTCAGTAATTCCAGCTTCTGCCAACCTAGCAGTTCGAAAGCATGCAAATGCAAGTAGGTAAATAGGTACCACTTTGGTGGGAAGGTAAATAGTGTTTGGTACAGTCATGCTGGCCACATGACCACCAGAGCAGTCCTCGGACAATGCTGTCTCTTCAGCTTAGTAACAGAGATGACCCCCCTCCACAGTTGGTTATGACTAGACATTCATGTCAAGGGACCACCTTTACCTTTATCCTTGAAATACAGCCTAAGAAAAGCCACAGAGGTTACTGATCCTCTATTCTCAGCACATAGGTTTTTGCATCATATGCTATGTCCATGGCCTTTCAGAAGATTTTGTTCCTTCTTTATAACTTCCGGGTGTTGTGACAGTATTGTTGAGTGCCTGAATTGTAGGTCTACTCCTGTGTGTGGATTCTACAACAAAAGGTAAGTGAGGCAGGTGATTTAAATTATCATGTTCTGGTGCATGTGGGTTAAGAGAGATATTTCAGCCTACTTATTATTCTACAGCTGTAAGCTGCTGTAATGGCCAGATGGTGGCAGAGAAACTCTACTTTTGGCCAAGATGCCTCATGCAGAGAGGGTTTCTTCCTGTCTAATATTTAGTATGAACTCTTATGAGAGAAGTCCTGCTGTGCTCTTCTTAACCAGATCTCCAGTTTCCTACCATATTGTGTGGCGGGGGCTATTATGACTGTCAACACTGTCTTTGAGAACGATCCAGAATTTCCAGTGCTTAATTTCTACCAAGAAAGGTGCCAGGGGTTCAAGTCTTCCTGGAGGCCATGCCAATTTCCCTAAAGCCTGTCCTTTGCTACTAATTGCGTGAGGAGGAGTAAGGTTGCTCAATGATGAAAAATTGAGTTCTTCATATGCCCTGAGACAGTCTGCTTTATTATTGTGATGTTGTGTCATTTCAAGTCATTTCAAGTGTTGTTTCAAGTCATTTAAGACATATGGCAATCATGATGACCCTATTACAGAGTTTTCTTGGCAAAATTTGTTCAGAAGCATTTTGACATTGCCTTCCTCTGAGGCTTTGGGAGAGTGATTTGCCCAAGGCCACCCAGTGGTTTTCCATGGCTGAGCAGGGATTCGAACCCTGGTCTCACAAAGTCCTAGTCGAGCACTCAAACCACTACGCCACAATGGCTTTGTCATTGCTTCCTACAATTCAAAGTGGCACATCAAAGGTAAAACAGATTCATGGATAGAAGTTGTCATAACTTAAACATGAGGGCTTCAACATGATAGCTGTGGAGCACTTCTCCTTTGGCACCTACTTGGTTTTCTGCCTCCTAATATCATTATTGCCGTTGTTTTAAAAAAAATATTATACAAAAGCTGGAAATCCTGCAAAATGAAGTGCAGGCCTCCAACACTATTTTTATTTCAGATAATGCCACTGTGTCTGCCCAGGCCCATTCCCTCCCACATTTAACAGAAGAAAACTGGGACACATCAGAGTGTGGTCAAAAGAATGGCCACGCAACAAAAGTACAAACATTATTAATGAGAAATAAGAAACAAAACTACTATTTTAAGCAGAGAAAGCTGGCAACTTAACCTGGGAGTTTATTTTCCAGCTGCTAGGGTTTGCAATTCTGTTGATGGCCTGGCTGATCTGTGGAACAGGGAGATAACCCAGGTAATTGACCCAATTGCTCCCAACTATCCTTTATCTGGATTCAGAGCACAGACTCCTGGGTTTTCTAAGGAGCTCAGGGCAATGAAGCGCTTGGGTAGGTGACTAGAGTGACAATGGAGAAATACTCAGGATGAATCCAATTGATCACAGATTAAGGTGCATTTTAAAACCTACTTTGTAACAGTGAGGGCAGCAGAGAAAGTATTATTTGCTGCCTCTATTACTTGAGCAAAGTCTTCATCCAGTGTAATTGTTCTCTGCAGTTAAAGGGCTATTAAATCCTAGACCTCATAAGGCTATGATGAATTTGCTAAATACTCTGAGGAAAAAATTGCTTGGATCTGTTCTGACTTGGATTTCACATTGAAGGTAGAGTTTGGGGAGGTAACTGAGGAACAGTTGTCCAATGTTGATGGAAGTTTCACTTTATTCAACATGACAATGTTGAAAATGTGCTTGGAGAAGTGAAGCCAACCAGTTTTGTGTTAGACCCATGTCCATCCTGGCTTATTAAAGTTGTCAGAGGAGGACTAGCTAGTTGGGTGGTGGAGGCTGTAAAAGCTTCTTTGAAAGAGGACTAGGTTCCAGTCTCTGTAAAAGAAGCTGTTGTAAGACTTTTGTTGAAGGAAACTTCACTGGGCCCCACCTCCCTAGATAACTATCGGCCAATCTCTAATTTTCCCTTTTTAAGTCTTAGAATGAGTGGTGGCAGCACAGTTCCAGGCTTTCTTGGATGAAACAGTTTATCTGGATCCATGCCAGTCTGGGTTCAGACCTGGTTAAATGATCTTGGTGGATGATTTATAATAGTAACTGGATGGGGGAATGTGTCCCTGTTGGTCCTCCTATATCTTTCAGTGGCATTTGATATCGACCATGATATCCTTCTAGGTTGGGGGCATTGTCTTGTGATGGTTTCAGTCTTTCTTGGCTGAAAGTTCCTAGGTGGTGCTGTGGGACTGTTCAACCATTTGGCCATTCTCCTGTAGAGTTCCATGGGGTCAATACTGTCCCCTGTGCCTTTTAACATCTACACTAAGCTGCTGGGAGAAGTCATCCAGAGCTTTGAGGTTGGGCATCATCAATATGCTGATGATACCCAGCTCTATCTTTCCTGAATAACTGATGCCAAGAAGGGTGTGATAGCTGAATTGTTGTTTGGCTGCAGTGAAGCACTGGATGTGGGTAAATAAACTGAGGCTCAATTGAGACAAGATGAAAGTGCTGTTAGTCCATAGCAAAACCAAGCTGGAACTAGGATCACAGTGTGTTTTGGAAGGGTTGCACTACCTCAGAAAGATCAGGTATGTAGCTTGAAGAGGCTCTTGGACTCACTGCTGCTCCTAGTAAGCCAGGTTGCTGCAGGGGCCAGGAGTGTCTTTGGAGTTTATCACGCGGGGCAAATCACGTGCGGAAACGGGGCTTTAAATTGGAAAAAAAAATGCAAAAGCGGTTACATTTTCAGACGCCACTGCTGTTAAAATGGAGTTAAAATGAGGTTAACCCGAATAGAAACTCGTTTGACTTTTGTGTTTTTTTCCCAATTTAAAGCCCCGTTTCTGCACGGGATTTCCCCCGTGTGATAAACTCCTTTGTCCAGTTTCAGCTGGTGCACCAGCTGGACCCTTTCCTGAGGAAGGCAGAACTGGCTACAGTAGTTCATGCTTTGTCTACCACAGTGCTGTAATGTACTGTATGTTGGGCTGTGCTTTAAAACTGTTCAGAAGCTGCGGCTAGTGCAAAATGCCATTCCAGACATTTTGCCTAATGTCTAATGTCAGGTGTGCATTTTAGAGACCACATAACAGCAGTCTTGCAAGAGTAGCACTGGCTTCAAATTTGCTTTTGACCTCAATTCAAAGTACTGGTGTTGACTTGCAAAGCCCTAAACAACTTGGGACCATGACATCTGAAAAACCATTTCCTCCCATATGAGCCTGTCAGAGAAGGCCCTATTGCATGTCCTTGTGAAGTTAGGTTGGTGGGTAGATGTAACAGGGCTTTCTCTGTAGCAGCACCCCAACTGGGGAACTTCAGTGCCAAAGAAGTTAGGCTGGATCCATCTCTTTTAAGCTTCCAATGGGCAGTCAAAATAGTACTGTTCCACATGGTCCTCAATACCTGAAATTGATGTTTTAAAACTGCATTTTGGGACAGTTTTAAATTGTTGTAAAAAGTTTTAAAAGAGTATTTTAATGTGTTTTTAAAATGTTTTGTCTCTGAACTGTTTTATTTGTTTTTATTTATTCATCGCCTTGGGAACCCTTGTACACTGGGAGGCAATACAAATATATCTTAAATAAATAAATGAATAAATGAATAAATAAATGTACTGAGTTTAGGAAGAGCAAGCTTCTGCTCCCTCTTCTCCATTCTACTGAGTTAACTGAATGCAAACTCCTGCAATTTTAATGGAGAGAGAAGGCTGGACATTTAAAAAACAGCTGTGAAAGTGGGACAACAGAAGATACACCAGGAAAACCCCTGCCAAACTGGGACAGTTGGAGAGTATGTTGGTTTGGAATGCATTGTTAACTGGCATTCCACAAGCCTTAATGGCACCAAAGTTTTGCAGAAGGCAGGGGACAAGGAGGTGCTTCCACCCTTTCCATGTACAAATGTTGTGTGGAGTGGCAATATAATCTTATTTCATTCTGACAACAGGGCAGTTTATTTAGATTTGCTATATTCCTGTAAGTATTGATCATGCTATATATACAGAGTTGTTGACACAGTGGCTGCCGAAGCTTCTTGGATGGTCTTTGACACAGAATGACTTAAGCATTATTTTCAAAGATCCCACAAACACAGGAGGCACAATTTATGCACTGAGAATAAATTGTCAGTACAATTTATTAAGGGTGCAGATGGAAAAAATCAGTACGGGGTAAAGATGGAATAATTCAGTTATTGCTAATGAAATTGTGTTTTAGTCACATGTTATCTGTCATTGGGAGGCTGGATATTTTAATCAGGCTTATTCAGTCTAATAAGATTATCTAGATAATGCTGCTTGTTAATTAAAAGGGTTACTACATTGAAATGTAAAGGTGAATGTAAGAAAGAACAAGTAGTTTATAGTGTACCAGCACCTAATGAAAATACCAAAGTAATATGTGGGAATGATGTTTATTCTGCCTCTTTTTCTATCTTTATTATTTTTTTTTTGGCAGACAAATTATTAAAGGTGGAGGTAGATTCTATAATGATGAGGAATCTGTACTCAGTACAAGAGGCTACTGTCAGAACAGAACACAGAGAAACAAAATGGTTCCCAATTGGCAAAGGAGTCAGACAAGGCTGCATCTTATCTCCCTACCTGTTCAACATATATACAGAACATATTGTAAGAAAATCAGGCCTGAACACAGAAGAAGGAGGAGTGAAAATAGGAGAAAGGAATATCTACAATCTAAGATATGCAGATGACACCAGAGTACTAGCAGAAAACCTCACAGACCTGGAACACCTACTAAGGAAGATCAAAGAAGAAAGTGCAAAGGCAGGCTTAATGCTGAACACAAAGAAAACAAAAATAATGACCACCAAGGACCTTCACAAGTTCAACCTAGACAACCTAGACAACGAAGAAATAGAAATAGTAAAGAATTCCCATACCTGGGATCAAACATTG